AGTGAAAAATGTATTTCCTTGGAGAAATTTCAGGTCATTGTATGACTAAACAGTGAGTCTGCTTATTATTCTGTCTGGTGCTCCAGGACTTTTTTTTTTTTTTTTTGAGTGAAAACAGCTTGAAAGAGCAAGAAAACCTCTTTGACACTAAAATCAAATAGGTGTGTTTGAAAGTGATTGGACCAGCCTGGATAAAAAACCGCTTCATAGTTAATTTTGCATTATAAAATGACCATTTTGCCAAACGAGGGTGACCGGGGAGGCCCAGTGGCCACCGCAAGGTGCAGGCAAGTGAGGAGACCTCCGTCCTCATCCTCCCCTTCACTCCCATCCACTTCAGCACTTCATTAGAGGGGGGACGGTGGAGCGCTGCCCACCCCCCCAAACGTGGGCACCGGGGCAGCGTCCTCAGCTCCGCGTGCCAGCCTAACCCTCACTGGCAGAGCCGTTCCCTCGCTTCGCTGGGCCTGACAAGGTGAAAATGCATCACTTGTGAGATTGTAGGGCCAGACTGAGGAGTTGAGACCAAAAATCTCTTCCTTTTTAGGAAAAAAAAAAAAAAAAAGAAAGAAAAAGAGGGGGATAAAGCTCTTTGTTTTGTTTTTGGTTGGTTTTGCTTTCTCCTTCCTTCTCTTTTTCCCTAAAGCGAAGCGAGGTACTGCACCTTCAGCATTAAGAAGCAAACCGAGCTGCAGGGCAGCTCTGCCCGGCGGGTCCTGCCGGGATGGGCTTGCGGCGCTTTCCCCCCCCGCCGCGTCACCTCCTGCATCCCCAGAAACGCTGGCAGTTTGTTGTCAGCTCTGCCCAGGCTGCCATATCTCTCACCTCCCCTCCCCATCAAACGTGAAGGGGGGGCGGGGGGGTGGCACGGAGAAAGGTTAAATTCAGGTCAGCCCTCCCCGGTCACACGTTTCTGCGAGCATCCCTTGGAAAGCCGCAGGGATCCCCGCGCCGGCGGTGCCCGCCGACTCCGGCAGCTCGGAGTCAAGGTGAGAACGGCGGCGGGCGCGGGGGGGCCGGGTTCACAGCCCCGTGCTGCCTGCACCGGCCCCCTCCAAACAAACAGAGCTCATGGCGAGCTGGGGGGCGAGAGGTGGATGGTAAACAAATGCGCCTTTGAAGAGTGACAATGGAATAAATCACGCGGTTACTTCGTTGGCACACTTGATAGTGCCGTTATCGTGAAGAAGGGACTGGGGGGAACGCCTGCCGTTGTGCCACGGGAGGGCCTGGGGGGCACGGGGGGGGGACTGTCCCCTTCTGCAGGGCGCGGGGTTGTCCTCTGCCCGCCTGGCTGAGCAGAATTTCATCAGATGTCGTAGCCCAACGCTGACATTTACCTTTAGCCAGTGGCCGTCGGTGTGTGGCATCTGTTCGGCTCCCCCGAATGAATCCTTGGCTCCCCCGACCTGGAGCACCCGATGCACAGACACCCGTGCTCAGTTTTCCCTGGAACTCAACAAATTGGGGATCGGGGTCGCAGCCTCACCCCGGGGGGTTTATCCTGGGGTGGGGGGGATTTCTCCTCCTGGATTTGCCTCCCTCCACCGAGCCTGGGAGCGTGTGGGTCCGTGCCCCAAAGGTACTTCAGCCCCATTGGTTTCAGGCTCATATTTGCTTAAAACGGGTGGGATTGGTCGAATTCGCTCCTGAAAATTCGCTGACTAAAGCTGAGCTGGCGTAAGCCGGGTGTCAGTGTGTCTCTGGAAGTGGGCACAACCCTTTGTTTTCACTAAATCTGCGGAAAATCGTGCTTTTGCATGATGTGACTGTGTAAATCCTGCTCCTGACCGACTCAGTGCACATCTGAAGTAATCCTCATTTTAGCTGAATTACTTGTATCTGGACACCTCTTTTCGTGCTGGACTCAGCCAAGGCTGCCCCTGCCCCTCCTGCCCTCCCCTGTCTCCGGGTAAGGAATTCCTGAATTTTCACTGGACCTGGATGGGGACAGGAGGATGGAGAAGGAAATGAGGAGGATGAGGAGGCTCCTTCCTCCACTGAGAACTTCAGCCCTCATTGTGGTGCACAGGCATCACTGTGGCTTAAGTAGGACTTAGACCCTGGGGAATAAAGTTAAGCGAGTGTTTAAAAGCCTGATCCTGAGCCACAGAATTGGATGTTTTTCTATTGACTTGACGAGGAGCAGGATCTGGCTTCAAGTCCCTGCGGGTTTAGGGCCAAAGGGCTCCACGCCCTGAGCAGTCCTGTCCATAACAAAGGAGAAGGCAGAGAAAAGGAAAGGAAGGGGGAAAAAATATGGAAAATTGAGAAATGCTGAAATGAAGTTGTGCTCGTTCAGCTCCCTCAGATGCCCAGGTCTCCATCATTAATATTAAGCAATCCCTAACAATACCACTCTGCATTTTCCGTAAGAATAACTATCAGGCTGGTAAACAAACCTGGCAATGTACAAAATTCAGCAGAATGTCTCATCTATAGAGGCCTTATGATAAATGTAACAAGGCAACAGCTATGCAAAAAAAAAAAAATTAAAATGTAGAAAATTGACATTTGGAATTGAGCAGGGTTGTGCGCTGGAAACACCGTTGTCTTATCGACAAGGGGGGGGACCTGCAGCCCTTTCTTAAACCCCAATGATACAGGCTAATTTATATGCAGTTATTCACGTGTGCAGTAAATTCCAATTATGTTTACAGATGTCTGCTTAACATTTATGGAAAAGGAACCTCAGCATGTCTGAAATATCCTTATAAGGGTTTGGACTGGGCTATCTTTTTTTTTTTTTTTTTTTTTTTTTACCAACACCAATTTAATTATGTTTTGCAGATTTAAAAAAAAAAAAAAAATCCAGCTGAGCTCCGTGATAGAAGGTTTAACACCTAATGCATATATTTAGGCTGTATGACCATTTCAGAGATGTTTTAACTCTATTTTTTTGTTGTTTTCATATAAAACTCAGGACGTTAGTTGATTTTTTAGACGGGAAAAAAAAAAAAAAGCGGCAACAAATAAGTGCAGTAAAAGACACATAGGTTTTCAAATGGCTTCCTGCTGTATTTTTATTCTTTGTCTTGGAATATCTTGATTTAACAGAAACGTTTCAGCACTCCTGTGTGCTGCGCTCTCAGGCCCAGGGGTCTCGCCCGTCACGCGGCGGCAGTTTGTCCTCCACCCTGTGACGCCGCCTCGCAGCCATCCTTGGTTTTCCCTGTAAAAGGTGTTTCTCACCCTTCTCCTCGTTTCCTTCTCCTCCTGTTTGCACGTTTAGCTGCAGTTTTATACCGTGTTGCGCGCTGTCACTGCTGAGGACTGTGGTGTTAGTGGGGCTGGATTTGTCCTCGGAGCCCCGGTGTGCCGGGGTCCCTGCCCAGAGACCCCAAGCCTGGATGGATGCAGCAGGCAGCTGGGCTCACACCTGCAAGGATGGATTTTCTGACTGTGGTAGTATTAATAAGAAAAATGTGTATTTTCAAGATACATGGGGCAAGAAGCAGCAATTTTCACACTTTGCTGCCCTGGGTCTGGGTTCTAAAGGCGGCTGCAGCCCCGTGCGGGGACCTGCCTGGCCCAGCCTCGTGCCCTTCCCTGGCCCTCAGCGGGCAGGATTTACCCCAAGGAAAAGGGTGGCCTCTGCTAATTCTCAGGCTGCTGTTTTCAAACATTTTCCCTCCTCTTTCTCTATAAATTTGAAGCACTCGCAGTTGATGAGAGCGCGTTGTGTGAGCAGCAGCCTGGCTCCGCTGGGCACCAAGCCCCGGGCACAGCCCCGGCACGATCCCGGCGTGTCCCAAACAGAGATTTCCACACAAAACTGAAGGCTCAGGATGCTTTATCGGTACCTACCTCCCCTCGCTGTTCCTCTGGAGAGCAGAGGCGACGCGCGCTCGCCTCCCGGGGCTCTGCAGCAGCGCGGGAGTTACCCCAGGTCCCACCCCGGTGTCCCCGATGGCATCAGGTCCCCGAACGCCGCTGTCCCTGTCCGTGTCCCCTGACTCGTTTCTAAGTATTGCCACCCTGCCCGCTGGCACAGCCGCTCGTGGCGGCGGTGCATATACTGGAGGGATGGAAAAGCTTTTCCATGGTCATTTTTAAAGCTAAACCAGTCAGTGTCTTACGTATGAAAGTACTTTAATTCAAATAGGGGAATGAAAACTGCATCGGTATTTGGAAATGGCATTTCCTTCCCGTGTGAAGCACCAGCCCTGTAGAATATTAATCTGGGTTTTAAAAGCTATGGTAGGAAATCGTCTTCCCAGTGCGCACACAGCCCTAAACCGTTCCTCAAACACGAGAGCAATCCTGCAGCACCAGAGGACTCTGCCCTGCGGGTTTGCTTGTCCAGCCTGCGGACGGAGGTGGGGAGGGAGCCTGTCTGCGTGCTTCCTTCTGCAGGGGACGCAATCTCCTGCAGGTATGCAGAAAAGATTTGTTTCGAATTAACACTTTATTGATTTTGCGTAAAGACATCCGAAGGGACGGCAGCGAGCAGGGATTATGCGCGGTGCGTGGCAGGCGCCCGCAGAGCTCCAGCGGCACGCAGCCCGGCTCCGCTCCCCCGCTGCATCTCACCTTGTGCCCAGACGCCGCGGTGATGGAGCTGCTACGGACGCTGCGGGCTGACCCCACGCAGGGAAGGGAAATGCTTTCCTTCGCGAGCTTTGGTTTTACAAGAGAAGCGATGACAGCCTACGGACGTAAAATTTGGTGTGGGTTCGGGTTGGTTTGAGAGTGTGAAGTTGATCCAGGACTCAGAGATCCGTCCGGGGAGTCCCTGCAAAGCTCGGGTCGGGATGAGGACAAACGCCCGAGCTCCTCTGCAGAGGTTAAGTGACCCTTTGGGAAGCCCCTCCAGCTGGCAGCAGCAACAGGTTTTAATATCTCAGGTGCTGGGTGGGAAGGAGTGCTCGTCCTTGTAGTCAACAGCCCAGTACAGCAAGCGTTAATGAGAAATTTTGGAGAGGGGAGAAGAGGAAGACCACGCTGTGGTTAGAGCAACTTACTTGATCTGAGAGCATATGTGGAATAAATGTGCCAGATTTTAAAAATGAGTTTTGTTTATTAGCACACCCTTAAGGAAATAAATCGTACATCATTAGGAGTGATGTCTTCTCACCAGCCATCTTCATTATTATTAACACATTTATCTAATAGCCATGCGAATTTCTTTCAGCCACTTATTCTGGAATCTTAGAGGCTTTACAAATACTAACTAATTACAGCAATGAAGATTTTATTTCAACAACCAAAAAAAACACATTGGTAGGGAATTCTGCAGACTCGGAGCTTCTGAGTCTGAACATCTCGGGAAGTTTCCATTTTCGTATGCACACGACCTCACCACGCTCCCAGCACGAGGCACATCGGCACAGAACAGCTCCTTCGGATAATTGTCACCAGTGAAAACTCTGTCATTTCACAGGCAGGAGAAACACACTTTGTAAAAGTGTTCGCTAGGGTTTGGGGTTGCTCCCGAAGGAGGCGGGGATAAATCAGGCACTCGCCATGTGAAATGAGGTTTACTGGTTTGTAAGCAAAAAAAGCTCCCGTGCCTTCGTGGTCACGCCGGTTCGGGGTCGGACGCATCGGCCGCTGCTCTCCGGAGCCACCTTCGCCTGCGGACACAGAGAGGTGAGAAGGGCACGCAGGGACCGGGCTGGTAGGATGTTCTCAGTGCCCCGTAACTCGTGAGGGACAAAATAATCAGTTAGGAAAGGCTGTCGGTGAGGAGGGGAGCGAGTGGGCGATGAGCTGTGCTGGTGACGTGGCACCGTGCGTGCGTGTTTCTGGGAGCAGCTGACGTGCGAAGTTGTAACGCGCGGTGTTAACAGCCTGCTGCCAGGAGTTCGACAAATAACCCGCTCGCTGAAAGCACCGAGCGGGAAAAAAACAAACAAACAAACAAAAAAAAGACCGGTTCAGACAGTGGCATAACAAAGCCAGGGGCAAGCAGCCTTTCGCATGACTTTTTTGCCATTTTGGAATGATAAAGCCGTCGTGGGGCTGCGTTTCCAGTGCAGGCGATGCCCTGCGGAGCGAGGCGGCCCCCCCGGCGCTGCAGACCTCATCCAGCCCTCTGCGGCAGCCCTGGGGAGGGCGACGGGGCGGGGGGGTGGGTCCCACCATCCGCCAGCAACACGGTAAGGAGGGGAGCTGAGAGGTGCTGCTGGAATCTGCGGGGTGCAGTGCATCCGCGTGGGAGTTGGGAGGTTTGGGTTGTGCCCGTCCCTGGGTGACCCTCGAGGAGCTGCTCCCCACCCCGTGCCCCCCGCGCTGCCCCACCAGCACGGCGGGTCTGGCGGGGACCTCCGGGCCCAGCTGGAATATGAGCGACAACAATCTCGTGGAGGGATTATTTTAGAATGTGGGGTTTTTAAGTGAGTTCCCGAGCATGGAGAATTGGTCCTTGGTGACACCAGCGTGTGGCTCTGCCCTGAGCAGGGGACTTGTCCTGGACCGCAGCAGAGCATCGTCAGGCAGATCCTGCTCGGGCACTGGGCTCTACCCCTGGAAAAATTACCTGAAAGTAGTGAAATTTCATGTTCTAGAACAAAATGATCTGTTTTTTCTCATCTTGACTGCAGCATATTGATGCATTTCAGAGTAATGGGATTGTGGATGTGCATGCCATATCCTTGCTACGGTGCTGGAATAAACTGTGCATGCGTACAGCCGAGCTTAGAACATCACTTACTCTACAAAGGAAGAGAAGGAAATGGGGGTTTTAAATGTGCATTTTTTTATAACACAACATACTTGGCCACGTCTCCTTACTGCAGTGCTCCAGTTTCATGCCAGGGCAGTGGTGACCCCATAGAAATCGGATGCTCAATCAGTATCTGGGGTGTGACGAGCGGCTCAGTGCTGGGCAGCGCTAACAAGCCCTGTCTGGAACGTGCCAGCGACCTCTCTAACCGCCTCCCCCCTCACGGGGCAGGGGCCTGCGAGCACGTGGAGCCCCCGGCTCCCACGCAGAATCTGCCTTTTTACCTTGCTCTTGCCCACCTGGCCCAGGCAGGCAGAATGTTGTGCTGAGCTGCAGACACCCGGCAGCCAGGAACTTCGTTGGGCTCAAACTGCGTAAACCCAACTGCTTCAGTTTGCGTGATAAAGCGGGGAGAAAGAAGGGCGTGCTGGCCAGAGCCTCTGTGCCCTGGCAGAAACCTTAAAATAGAAGCCTGTATAAATAGGGTGTGACATAGGATATCATATAGTAACATGGTATCAAATTACAGAATCTATATATAGAAGATTAATCAAAGGTCGGGACTAAGCAGACAGATATAACCACAGCCAGGAGCTCTGGATTCGTTTTCACAAACAGCGAGGGAAGTTTGTGGTGCTCTGGTACCTGGTCCAGGTGATGCTGTTTTATCACCCCGAACTGAGATCTGCTCCTGCACCTGCAGCAGGTAGGCAGAGGGAAGTGCTGGTTTCCCACCAGCGCAGGCGTATTCTCCTTATGTTTTATTGGGATAGTCCTATTTGGTTTGATTTCCATTATTTTTCTCAAACGCCCTGCGTGACGGTGATGTCAGACACCTAAAGCTAACATTCTGCTGATGACAAAAAGCCTCTTATATTGGGAAGGAACCCTCTTCTCCAGCTGCTTGCAAAGGACAAACAGCGCAGCAGCCCTTTTTCTGTACACAAATGGGAAGCCAGTCACAGTGTTTGGTAGAGGAAAGTCATGCAGTTGCTCCTTTCTGAGCAGGAAGATGTGTTCCTGTTGGGTAGGAAGGCACCGGCCACCCTCAGAAACAAGAAAAACAAAGAATTTGCCCAGAGTCACGCAGCAGGTCAGCAGCAGGAGCAGGGGGAACGGTCTGGACACCCTCTGCCTTCCGACCCTGCCGACAGACCCACTGCCTCCGCACAAAATCCCCTATACGTGTTAGATACACGGATGAGATAGATTGACTCTCACTCCCAGGGAAGTTCAGCGACTGTGAAATTAGTAAATTACACAGGCCCACGGAACTTAGAAAAACAATATAATCCTGGGGGTACTGAAATAATTAATTTGCTAATCAACTACACCTTGCTTTTTTTAATTTGCAAATGGCACTCTGTTTTGTTTCCCCGTTTCAGCCACCTCAAGAAGAGGGGTATTTCAGGCAGCAAAGGGGTCAGGGCCGAGCGCGGCATCACGGCACCCCGGGGGCTGCCGGGCACCGCAGGGACCCCAGCAAGAGCTGGGGCATTGCTTTTTTTGAGGGGGGGGACACCCCGCCGTGCTCTGGATCCAGCCACCAAGTTGCGAGGGAAGAGCCGGAGCCGCAGGGCTCCTGCAGATGTTTTGTGCTGGTTTGTCTCCTGGTCTCACTGCACCGTTGTTTGCTTTAAATCATTTCAAATGCGGAGGTTGTCAGACAAGACAATTAACATGGGGAAGGGGGAAAGTATTACCATCCATTATTTGCCATAACATGAATTTAAGCCAGGAAGTCAAATGATAAAATATGTGGTGAAAAGTGTTGGTGGTGGGAGTGCCTGAATGAGTAATAGCCTTGGGCTTCTGAGCCTTGAACTTAACGTGCTAAGTAAATCCCCGAGGTCAAAAAGTATGAAAATTGTTGCAGCTTGGGGAGATATATTTTAACTTTGCAAAAGGTCCTCGCAAATCCGCTGCTGGGGCCGCTGGAGAGGCGGATGCGGAGCAACGGGCTGCGCCGGCGGCTGAAGCCGCTGCAGAGCGAACCGCTGGGCTCCGACCGACGGCGGGGGGCTGGCGGCTTGTTTCGGGGGGGGGGGGGGGGGGGGGGGGGAATAAAATAAGAAAAAAAAAATATACTAATCAGGTGAAGCTGGGAGCGGAGCGGGGGGGTGGGATGGGTGCGCAGGGGTGGGATGAGCCGGGGCCGGTTTGGGGTTCGGGTCCCCAGCGCCGCAGCTCCGCCGGGAGAAACGATCGCAACTGGCGGCGAATCCCCCCCCCCCCCCCCCCCCACCTCGGGGCTGCGGGGACCCCCCGGAGAGCCGGGCCGGGGTCCCCGCTCCGCCGCGCCCCAACTCGTCCCCTTTAAAACTCTTTTCTCCCTATCGAGCTGACCACGCGGCTGAATTTATGGAGAGAGATGTTTTAGCAGAAATCCCCCCGAGTCTCCCATCAGCCCTAAATCCCCAGCCTGCTCTCCCTGGGAGACCTCATGACACAGAGCATGCCAAAACAGCTTCGTTTTGCCTATGCATTAGCAATCTATTTTACCTTTTTGACATCTCTCACACATAAAACCGTAAGAGAGAAATAAAATATCTGTCTCTGGGCGAAAATAAAGCTTTGCCTCCCTCCTGATCTATAGGATATAAAATAAAGCCATGGCTTTGATAGTGGCTTTTCCTTACACCGGAGTTGCTTTTGCACACACGGAGACAATGAAGATGGATGAGCCGGGATCGGTGCATCCTCCTGGGGTTTGTTTCACCCTCTTTTTTTATCGTCTCCCCCCGCCCCCGCCACCTCTTCACTTTTCTTTCTTTTCTCTTTTATTCGTCTTTTATCTGCCCTTTCTCTCTTTAACAACGTCAAGGGTCCCGTTCACCCCCGGGCTCCTCCGCCGGGCTCCCCCCGCTCGCCCCGAGCCCGGCCCGACCCCCGGCCCCCCCCGACCCCCCCCGGCCCCTTCCCGGGCGCTTTCCCGTCTCCGCCGGCAACTCGCAGAGAGGCACACCTCGGATTTGTAATTATTTATTAACTATATTTCCCATCAACAATGCATGAGCTTTGAGTGTAAGCGACAACATTTAGCGACGTGGAAGGAAACCCGGGAGGGCTAATCAAGGGGGAGGGGGGGGCAGAAAAATAAATAAGAAAAGGGAAAGGCGAGCGGAGCCGGGAGGGGACGGTGCGGGACTGCCCGGGCGTGTTTACCCTCAGCATCGACCCGAGCGTGGCAGAATAAACTGGGACCCTCTAATACATAATTTAAAGATTTTTTTTTTCCAAGCCCCTTTAAAACAAACCTGGCGCGGCGCGCAGCGATGGATTCTGTCCAGCAACGGGTTTATTGCGCGAGGATGTTCTACAGGCTTAATTACATCTTAACTTCAATATTTGTTGAGTGCATTAGCCGCATATATATTTAATCAGGCGGAGGCGCTCTTCCTGCGGGGGAAAGCTTGGGGGGGGGGGGGGAGGAAGAGGTGTGACCCCCCCCATCCCCACGGGTTGTCCCCCCCCCGCCCCAGCGCTGCCCGGCCCGGCTCGGAGCGGTTCCCGGGGCGGGGGGGGGGGGGGGGGGGGGAGGAAGCGGCTCCGGTCGCTCAAAGCCCGACGGCATCACCGCTACCGCTCCCGTGCGCCGGTCGTTGTGAAAGGTTGAGAAGGAGGGAAAAATAACATGAAATTAAATTTTTAAAATCCAAAAAATAATAATAATAATAATAATAAAAAAAAAGCTTCGTCCTGCCAGGGGATGGACACGGCAGAGAAAGTGGCTGTGTCCGGGTGGGAGGGAAGTTTCTTCCTCGGCTTCGCTCGGGGGATGGAGCGGCCGGGGATGGGGGATGCACCGCCCCGCGCCGCCCCGCTCCGCCCCGCTCCGCGCCGGCGGGGCTCCCCGGAGCTCTGCCCGCAGCCCCGGCGCCGGGACGAGCGGGCTCCGGTGTTTGTACAGCACTAGTGCCCCGTAAAGGAGAGAGAAATCCCATTACCGAGCGCAGCGGTGTAGAAAGGCTGATGATAAACAGGGTGATGTTTAACTAAAAAGACGGGAACGACACCAGTAAAATGCAAATTCAAACTCGCCTGAAAAGGACTTTTTAAATTTTTCCTGCTGTATTAGCTTTAAAATCAATTTTAGATTTTTTTTTTTTTTTTTTTTACTTTTTTAATTTCCTTCCTTTCAGCACCGGGGCCGGGCGGGGTTGCTCGGCGCTGAAACCCCCCGGCCGGTTCTCCCGTTTCTCTTCTCCGAATCCCCGCGACCGGGGCTGGGGGCTAGATCCCGGCCGGGAACGGACCCGGCCGAATTGCAAAATAGAATGAAATAAAAAAAAAAAAAATCCAAAACAAAAAAACAACCAAAATCCCCAGGCACATTGACCTAGGAGGGGTCGGCGGCAGGCCGGGTGCTGCCGGGCCATCCATCCCCATATCCTGGGGGGATTTTTTGTCCCCCCACTCCTTCCGCTCAAACTCCGCGGACTCCCCGGCCCGTGGGTGCCCCACTCCTGTTCCGCGGTGCAGAGAAGGCCCGTGGGAGGCCGGGGATGGGGAGTTTTTTCTTTTCGGAGCCTGCTGGAAACAGCGCTGGTATTTTCGCCTCTCGAACGCCTGCGCCGAGCCGGGGTCCGAGGTGTGTATGGGAGGGGGTGAGGTGGACCTGGGGACACCCCACGATCCCCACGGCGCGGGGGGAGCAGCCCCCCTCGGTGTACGTGTGCCGGGGAGGGGGGGGGGGGGGTAGGAAGCCCCGCCGGTGCATCAGCGCTGCCCGCCCCACCGCAGCGGTACCGCGGGCCGCGGAAAAGGAGAGGGGGGGGGGGGGGCAGCGGTTTGTACACACCCCCCCCCTCGGCACCCCCGGACCCTGCGCGGAGCCAGCGGGGCGGGAGGGGGCAGGGGATAACCAGATGCTTTCGCTAACGCCTGGGAAAGGAGGGAAGGGGGAGAAAAAAAAAAAAAAAAAAAAAAAAAGACTGTGAAAAACTGGTGCTTGATGGACATAAGATGCTCATCTCCTTCCTCTCATTCATCCCCACCACACATGTCACTTGGGGGCCCGCAGTCAAAGGGAAGAGGTCCCCTGGCAGCAGCCTACAGCTGTCGCCTTCCCGGGCGGCGGAGCGGGGCCGCCCCGGCCCCTCCGCTCCGCATGAGAAGCGGCCCATATGCGGGGGGCCGGGGGGGCCCAGGGCTCTATTGATCCCCGCAACCGGCGGCAAAGTAAAACCCAACAGCTGGGCAGGGAGGCGGGGAGAGGCGCGGTGCGCGGCCCCGACGGGGCGGTGATGGTCGGCTCCGGGCCGGCGTGGGGGCACAGGGAGACCTGGAGGAGGAGGGGGACACACACACACACGCAGATCGTGGACGCAGCCCCCGGGGCTTTTAAACACCCGCAGGAACCCCGAGGAGATGCCTCGGCTCGGGGGCTCTCCCGGCCCGCGCAGGCTCCGCACCCCCCGCCAGCCCCGGGCCCCCCCCGGCCCTGGAGGGGGTTTTCGTCTCTTTCGTTTTCCTTTTTATTTTCCAATTTCTCCCTCCCTCGCTTCTTTTTTTTTTCTCCTTTTCTTTTTTCTTTTTTTTTTTTTTTTTTTTTTTTTCCTCCTCAAGGACGAGTAAAACCAGACATGAAAGAGAGCGCGGACCGTGGGTAAGGGCGCGGGAAGGCAGGGGATGCTGCGGGGCGGCCGCGGAAAGTGCGCGCCCCGCCGCGCCTGGCCCCGGCTGGCAGCCGCGCGTGTAACCCACGGCCATTTAATCCGCCGTTTCCCTCCTAATTCCTCGCCAGCGGATCAATCGCCCGCAGGGATGGAGGGGAGCCGGGGGGGACGCGGGGCCCGGGCGGTGACACCTCCCCGGAGCGGCGGCTCCCGCCGGGCAGCAAAGCGCGAAGGAAAGAGAAATCACGGCCCTCCTAACCGCGACCGACCGAGCCCCTGGAAAGTAAAAGCAGATTAATTTTTATTTGCCTCCCCTCACAAAAAAAAAAGAAAAAAAGAAAAATAAATAGAAGTACATCAGCAGCGGCCGGTGCGGATCGGGCGCTGCGAGCGCCGGTAACGGAATCGCGGCGAAGTTACCGGCGCTTTCCCGCTGGGCGCGGCGGCCGGGCGGCAGTGGGGCTCGCCGCGCCCCCCCCGGCCCGCCGGAGCGCCCCGGGCCTCGCTCCCGGCCTTTCCGCACCTTTTCTCCGGGGAAAAGCGAGAGCCGTCGCAGGTTTTTAGTTTGGTTTTTTTTTTTTTTTTCTTTTTTTTTTTTTTTTTTTTTTTTCCCCTCGCCGCACCGCCCCGCGGGAGGCTCCGCGCCCCCCCCCGCCCTCGGGACCCGCCGTTTATCAAGGAGGGGAAACCACGCTCAACCGGCAAACTCGTTTGCCGCCCGCTCCCCCAACGAGCCGCCCCGGGGTTCGGCGGCGGGAACCGGCCGGTGGGTCCCTGTAACGGATGCGGGATCCGACGGCGGGGGAGGGGGTGTCCAGACCCCCAACGAGCGCTCCCCGTTCCCCCCCGCCCCGCCACACCTACCCGCTTGCAGCGCGCTCCCGAGCAGGGCTCGCCTCGGCCGGGCCCGAGCGGCAGCGGGCTGTCCGTCTGTCCGTCCCTCCGTCCATCCGCCGCTCGGTGCGGGCCGGGCGCGGGCGGCGGCGCCCCGGCGGCTCTATAAAGGGGGGCGCGGACGCCCCGTCCGGCGGCGGGCGCGTTGTTGGGGGGGGGGGGGGGGGGGGAGTGGGGGGGTGGTGGTGGTGATGGAGTTGGGGGGGGGGGGGGGAAGCAAAAAAGGGAGGGTGGGAGGATTGAAAAAGGAGGGGGGGGGTCGACGGTAACGGCGGCGGCGATTGGCCGGGGCGGGCGGTGACGTCTGTGCGCGGTGCATAAGGCTGCGGCCGCGGGGCTGCCGGGAACATGCAGTGCGCCCTGCGCTGCCGGGACGGCGCGGGCAGCGCCGCTTCTCCTGCCCTCCCCTCCCCTCCCCTCCGCCGCCTTCCGCGGGAGGCGGAACAAAAGGCGGCAGCGCCGGGCGATGCCGCGCCGGCTCGGCGGGGACGCGGCCGGCCGCCGCGGGTAGCGCGCAAGGGCGCTGCGCGGGGGTAGGTAGGAGCCGGGCGCGACGGTCCCGCCGAGACGTCGAGGGAAAGGAGAGGAGAGAGGAGCGAGGGGACGGAGCGAGGAGCTGCGGAGCGTCTTCCCCCCCCCCCCCGCCCCCCGCCTCCCCATCCCCCTCCCCCCCCCCCCCCGCGTAAGGACGGCGGCCCGCTCCGCGGCGCGTAGGGCCATGTCGCCGCGGCAGCAGGCAAAGCCCTTCTGACCGCTGTCGGGTCTCCATGTCTCATTTTATTATATATTTATTTTTATTTTTTTTTTCCTCCTTTGATTTCTCTTTGGAAAAAGCACTTTGACTCCTGACTGCTCTACCTCAGACCTGAGAAAAACTCATCACGCTCGCTTTTTGGCGTTTGTTTTTTTTTTTTTTTCAATTTTTTTTTTTTTTTTCAATTTTGATGAGCGCCGATCTTTATAGTCGTTGTTTTATTGTCACTATTATCATTGTTGCTGTCGTGGTTGGTAGCAGCCGGGATTCTGCGGTTGTGTCGAAGCGCTGGTCTACTCGGGCAGTGGGTGGTTTCTCCTGTGTATCCCTCCTAGGACACTCGAACGAAGATTTTTCTTCCTCCCTTTCTTTTTCTCCTCCTTCACTTTTCCAAGGCTTTTGAAACAAACACACACACACACACAAAAAAAAAAAAAAAAAAAAAAAAAAGCAAACCTACGCCGGTGTTGTCGTCTTTCAAAAAAATTTTTTGTTGGTGTTTTTTTTTTTTGTGGGTTTTTTTTTTTTTTTTTTTGCTTGACATCTGGGAAACCAATACCCCCCACTCTCAGAAATAACCAAAGACAATGGTTCACTGTGCAGGCTGCAAAAGGCCAATCTTGGACCGGTTTTTGTTGAATGTACTGGACAGGGCTTGGCATGTGAAGTGTGTTCAGTGCTGTGAATGTAAATGCAATTTGACAGAGAAATGCTTTTCGCGAGAAGGCAAGCTTTACTGCAAAAACGACTTCTTTCGGTAAGTACCGGACCCCCCCTGCCCGGAGCCGTAGCTCCTTTACATCCATTTTTCATCTCCCTTTTTCCCTTTTTTTTTTTGTTTGTTTGTTTGTTTTGTTTGTTTTCCCCCCGTTGTGCAGTGTGACCCACAAACGCCTTTCCCCCCTCCGCACACGCGGACACCCCCCGCCGCCGTTGTTGTGTCTCCAGGTGATCCCCGGGGCGGGCGCGGGGGCCCGGCGGGACGGGCGGGGGTCGGGCCCGGGGGAAGGGGCGCCCCGTCGGGGACTGCGGGGCGAGACCCGGCCGAGCTCCGCTTCCCCAAAGTTCCCTCGAAACTATCGACCGGTGGAGCGGGGGCGATGCCGGGCGGGAAGGGGGAGGAGGGGGGGGGGCCCGTCCCGGTCCCGGTGCTGCGGAGCAGAGGTGACCCCGCCGGGGCTTTTCCGCGGCCGTCAGCGCAGCGCTCCGCGGGCCGGAGCCCGGCGTTGTCCGCAGCCGCGGGAGCGGGGAAGGCCCCGGTGCGGCGGCGGTGCGCGGCTCCCGTCCGACCGAGCCCTGGCGATCCCCTCCCCGGGCGGGTGGATGGAGAGGGGAGCGGGTACCGACGGGCCGCTCGCCGCCGCTTCCCCCGCGCAGCCCGGCCCGCAGCGGCACCGAAATAAATCCCGGGGTCGCAGCGCGCCCCGGCAATAAAGAAGGAATGGCCGCGGAGCCCTGGCCGCGCACCGCGGAGCGCATCCCCCGGGCCGCGCATCCTCCCGGGCCCGGCTGCCGGGAGCCCCGCGGAGCGGCCGCGGCCGAAGCGAAGCAGAGCGCGGGTGGCAGCTCGGCCGGGCTGCGAGCGATTAATAACATAGAAGAATTTCTCCTTAGTATTTATTAGAGTGTCGTTAATCAATGTGTCAGGGCGCAGAGGGGAAACCCTGGACAACGCAGCCCCGGTGTTTAATTAATCCCTCAGCACTTCGTCCCCTGCCCGGATCGCGTCTTTTTATTTTATTTATTTTTGTTTTGTTTCGTTTTACGATGTCATTTCAAGCATTCGCTCGTTAGGAAGCGAGGACGCTGCGGAGCGATGCTTTCTTTGATTTCATTTCCTTTTGCGCGGGCGGGCGGTGCAGCCGCCCCGAGGCCGCGGGGAAGGGCGCGGGGCCGCGGGGCGCTCGCCCGTCGGGGCCGGGCTGGTCTCGGGGGGCCCCGCTGAGCCGCTCCCGGCCTCTCCCCGCAGGTGTTTCGGGACCAAGTGCGCGGGCTGTGCCCAGGGCATCTCCCCCAGCGACCTGGTCCGCAGGGCGCGGAGCAAAGTGTTCCACTTGAACTGTTTTACGTGTATGATGTGTAACAAGCAACTCTCCACCGGCGAGGAGCTCTACATCATAGACGAAAACAAGTTTGTCTGCAAAGAAGATTACCTAAATAACAGCAATACTGCCAAAGAAAACAGCCTGCATTCAGGTGAGGGAGCAGAGCCGGGGCGATGCGGGGCGGGATGCGCTCAGCTCCGGCTTCTCCGCGGGGCAAGAGCCTCTTCTCTCTTCTCTCTCTCTTCTCTCTCTCTTCTCTCTCTCTTCTCTCTCTCTTCTCTCTCTCTTCTCTCTCTCTTCTCTCTCTCTTCTCTCTCTCTTCTCTCTCTCTTCTCTCTCTCTTCTCTCTCTCTTCTCTCTCTCTTCTCTCTCTCTTCTCTCTCTCTTCTCTCTCTCTTCTCTCTCTCTTCTCTCTCTCTCCTCTCCTCTCCTCTCCTCTCCTCTCCTCTCCTCTCCTCTCCTCTCCTCTCCTCTCCTCTCCTCTCCTCTCCTCTCCTCTCCTCTCCTCTCCTCTCCTCTCCTCTCCTCTCCTCTCCTCTCCTCTCCTCTCCTCTCCTCTCCTCTCCTCTCCTCTCCTCTCCTCTCCTCTCCTCTCCTCTCCTCTCCTCTCCTCTCCTCTCCTCTCCTCTCCTCTCCTCTCCTCTCCTCTCCTCTCCTCTCCTCTCCTCTCCTCTCCTCTCCTCTCCTCTCCTCTCCTCTCCTCTCCTCTCCTCTCCTCTCCTCTCCTCTCCTCTCCTCTCCTCTCCTCTCCCTTCTTTTCTCCTCTCCCCCGCTCGTACCGCAGCCCGACTCCCGTGATCGCTATTCCCCGCCCCCCCCAGCGGCCACCCCGAGCCTGACCGTGACCCCGTTTCCTCTCACCCAGCCACCACCGGCAGTGACCCCAGCCTGTCCCCCGACTCCCAAGACCCTTCCCAGGACGACGCCAAGGACTCGGAAAGCGCCAACGTGTCCGACAAGGAGACGGGCAGCAACGAAAACGACGACCAGAACCTGGGGGCCAAGCGACGGGGACCCCGCACCACCATCAAAGCCAAACAGCTAGAGACTCTGAAAGCCGCCTTTGCGGCCACCCCCAAACCCACGCGGCACATCAGGGAGCAGCTGGCGCAGGAGACCGGCCTCAACATGCGGGTCATCCAGGTACCGCCGCCCCCCCGGGGGGTGCCCCGCCGCCGGCTTAAATCGTTATGACCCCCCACGCCCCGACCCCGGCAGGGACAGGGCTGCGGGTTTCTTTTAGAAAGTCCTAAAGAAGCTGCAAATAGTATCGAAATTAATAACCAGAAATGTGAGGGGTTAATGGATAAATAAGAATGACAATGCGCTGGAATTATTAAAAGGTTTATAAACCCGCAGCGCTGGGGGTAATGGGGGGTTAAAGGACCATTAAAGACGAGGTTAGATTGGAGAGTCTCAGTGTGAGGGTAATTAGGAGTAATCTTGTCAGGGTAATAAGAATTAACTCAATCATTCTTGACCTGCTGCGGGGAGCGCCCGGCCGGCCGCGGGGCCGCCGTCACGCGTGGGTTCGGCCCCGTTTGAAACGAGGAGGAGCGCAGCTCGGGGGTGGGGGGACACACACCTGCTCGGGTCCTCCCCCCCTCGACAAAAGACGCCGGGAAACGCCTAGCACCGGGGAGGGGAATCATCCGTGGGGGAGGAGCGGGGCCGTGGAGCGGGACACGCAGGACCGCGGCTCCCGTGACACCGCCGCCTCTTCGCCCCCCCCCCCCGCCCAGGTCTGGTTCCAGAACCGGCGCTCCAAGGAGCGGCGGATGAAGCAGCTGAGCGCGCTGGGCGCCCGCCGGCACGCCTTCTTCCGCAGCCCACGCAGGATGCGGCCGCTCGTGGACCGGCTGGAGCCGGGGGAGCTCATCCCCAACGGGCCCTTCTCCTTCTACGGAGGTGGGTAACGCGATCCCACCCCTCCACGGTCCCTCCCTCGCCTCGAAGCGGGGGGCTGTGCCGGGCTCCCCCCCTCCCCACCGCCTCCCCCCCCCAGGGCGAGCAGCCCCGCGGGTTTCCTCGCCCCTCGGGGGGGCAATTCCCCGCTAGCCGGGGTTGCTCTGGCCACGCGTTTCGGTCGGTTCGTTTTGGTGTCCCCGCCGCTGGCCGGGGGCTCTGTCGAAGGCGGGATCCCCGGGGATCGGCCGGAGCCCGCGCTGCCGGTGCATTTCCCCCGGGGGGGTCAGCGAGCTCCGGGTGATATTTTGAGGCCCCCAGACACACCGCCGCTAAAACACACCCTCGTGTCTTTTCCCCGCGGTTGCCCCGTCAGCGTGTTACCTTCCCTCTGTCTCTCCTTCTCCACCAGATTATCAGAGCGAGTAT